ATTTAACATATAAATATATGTACATAGATCTATTTGCTCTTCAACACTTTAAAGAAGCCTTTGTGCATCAGGTTGATCTGCAAACAGTTGATCTCTTGACCCCTGCTTCCATGAACATTGATTGTGGATTCAAGCAAGATGAAATCCTTGACAACTTCAATCTTGTCTCTGGTTATCATGATGTTGTCTGTTGGTCCAGTTGTGAGGACCTGGGCTTATTTTACACTGAGTGGTAACTAATACTGAAGACTAAATGTACATGAGGCTGTCACTCTCTGCCTTGGTCTCACAGTGTATCTTTCTGTTTTGTTCCATCTCTGTGTCTTTGAAACCCCCCCTCTCCCATTTCCACAGTGGCCACCGGCTTTGTTCTCCGCCAGTGTGGCAGCGATGGCCAGTGGGGGCCTTGGAGGGACCACTCCCAGTGTGAGAACCCAGAGAAGAATGAAGTCGTCCAGGTGCAAGGATATTGGGGGTGGGGAGGGGTTGGTTAGGATGTCTAGGAGGGAAAAAAGGGGGCCACACCCTCATGCTAAGCCGGAAACCCCTTGTATTATTCAGGACTCAGGGTTGCAAGTGAGAGAAACATGGCTAAAATTTGGTTAAAGGATGACTTTAACTTGTAAATGACTTATATTGAAAAAATATAAGGCTGTGGCTCCAGGCTCAGCTGGATCTAGGTGCTCAAATGATGGCTGCCAATGTCTCTATGTTGTGTCTGTTTTTCTCTCTCCTGGCTGATTATCATTCTCGTGGCATGGCAGTTGGGGCCCTCTTTAGCACCAGGCACAAGGCAGCAACACAATGGAAAGACGGAATTTCATTCTCCCTAGCTCCACCATAAAGTCCCAGGACTGGCTCTCATTGGTTCCATTTCGGTAGTATGTCTGCTCTGAACCAATCATTGTGGGAGGTGGGTGTTCGAGTGAATGCGCTGATTGGCTAGGCATGCAACCACATGTCAGGAGCTGAGGCTTGGAGTCTGACTCACTTGGGTCAAAGTCGACAGTTCCCCAAGAGAAAAATGAACTGCTGGGAAAAGAGCTACCTTTCCACGCAGAGCTAAGACTGAACCTTGTTCTCACCCTCCTCAACTCCCCCAGGACCAAAGGCTGATCTTGGAGCGGCTGCAGGTCGTGTACACTGTCGGCTACTCACTGTCCCTTGCCACTTTGCTGTTGGCCCTGCTCCTCCTGAGTGGCTTCAGGTAGGACTCTAACTGGCCCAGGATGATGGGGAGGAGGGGTGGGGCATCGGACGTGGCCACCTCCCTGCATCCACTGGCCGTTCTCTGGGAAGAGTTGGGGTGGGGAGGTTATATGTCTGAGGGCAGGTCTCCAGTGGTCCCTAGACTGTCTCTCAATCCCCCCCTCCCCGCCCCCACAGGAGACTGCGCTGCACTCGGAACTACATCCACATCAACCTGTTCACATCATTCATGCTGCGTGCTGCAGCCATCCTCACACGAGATCGGCTGCTGCCCGGGCCTGGCCTTAGTCCCGGGGAGCAGGCCCCGTGGAGCCAGGTGAGCCCGTGCCCGCTGCTTCCTGACATGGGAATAGGCCTCTCGGGTCTCTCTGAGTGTGAATCCACTGGATGGCATAGGTTTGCAGAATGCTCTCAGTGGAGGAGGGGGAGGAACAATTCTGGTACACCTTAACTCTTTGAGATGCACCAAGCCTAGCTACCACCCACTGAGGTATCTATGGAGGACTGCTGGTGGAAAAGGGCACCTCCCCTGGAGACCCTGACTGCCCACCCTTTCTCTGGCTGCCCCCTCTAGGCCCTAGCTGCCTGCCGCACGGCCCAGGTCGTGACCCAGTACTGCGTGGGCGCGAATTACACGTGGCTGCTGGTGGAGGGTGTCTACTTGCATAGCGTGTTGGTGCTTGTGGGAGGCTCTGAGGGGGACCACTTCCGCTGCTACCTGCTCCTTGGCTGGGGTGAGCCCCGACCCACGCCCCAGCCTGCCCAGC